CAGAGCGGCTTACAAACTCCTTTCCCTTCCCCTCCCCACAACACGCCCTGTGAGGCAGGTGGGGCTGAGAGAGCTCTTGACAGAAACTGCTCTTTTTCAAGGACAGCTCTTATCAGAACTACAGCTTGCCCAAGGTCATCCAGCAGCTGCATGTGGAGGAGTGGAGAATCAAACCCGGTTCTCCCAGATTAGAGTCCACGCACTTAACCACTACACCAAAGGGCCAAACAAACAGGGGAACCTTAATAAGAGAAGCCATGTTGGATCAGGTCAATGGCCCATCCGCTCTGATATTCTGTCGCACAGCGGCCAAAACCCAGGTGCCAACAGGAGGTCCACCAGTGAGGCCAGAACTCCAGAAGCCCTCCCACTGTTGCCCCCCAAGCAGTCACTATGGGTGTGTGCAATTCCAAAATATTTTCTTCTTTTTTGTCTTTTTCATATGTGTATATGTATTTGTGTGCGTGTGATTGTGTGCATCTGGAAGTCATGGCGACCTCTGGTGACTGACCCATACTGGGGGCCTTTTTTGAGTCTGTAGGCACCTATGGAATATTGACATGGGGGGGCAACCACAAAATGGCTTCCCACGGGCACCACGTTGGGGACCATCCCTTAGCTTGTTATTTTTGCCCAAATCGAAAATGCTGTCTTTTTCTCTGTGCTCCAAGCCAGGACTCCAAGCCACGGCTTAAATCCTGGTTCAAATCCTGCCTTGGGGGGGGGGGGGGGGGAGAAAGATTTGGGGGAAATGACAAATTGTGGTGTAGGCAAAGGGGCATTTTCGAGTCACATGGGAGTGCAGAAGGAAGGGGGGGAGGGTATCCACGGATCCCCCCAACCTGGCTTATGTAAGGGTTGACATGTTGTCACCTCTCTCAACCCTACCAAAGGGAAGACAAAAATGAAAATGCAGAAGGGAAACTGAAGTCTTCTGCAGATTTTGAGTTTTATGAAAACAATTCAATAAATTAAACATACCGAAACACATTCGACTGCATGCATTTAGGTCTCACTGCTTTACACTGGTTTATGGCGCCCAATCCCGCGGGGTTCCTTAAGGCTCCCCCCCTTCCCCACCCCAAAGCGCTTGTCGATGCATGAAGCTGTCATCGGTCCGCCAAGCTCAATCCTCCCCGCTCTGACTGGCCACACCATTCTAGGGGACCCGCGGCTACCTACGAGAAACGGATGTGAATGGAGCAGCTGACAATATGCCAGCGCTCTGGGTACTCTTCACAGGCACACCCAAGATTCCAGACTGGTACACCTATGTCTCTTTTCCCAGCTTGTGCAACGACGATAGATAGAAACTTCCTTTCTTCACAGCAGGGCTTTTTTTGTAGAAAAAGTCCAGCAGGAACTCATTAGCATACTAGCCCACACCCAGCAGCAGAAACCCATTAGCCTATTAGGCCACACCCCTGACTGCACCACTCATTAGCATATTAAGCCACATTCACACGTTACCAGAAGTGTGGTCATCCAGCCACACCCACCTTTTGCTTCTTATTCTGTTTACCTTCTTTGTTGTCCAAACCCAGGGCTTTTCTGTAGCAGGAACTCCTTTGCATGTTAGGCCACACACCCCTAATGTAGCCAATCCTAATGAGTTTCTGCTGTTGGGTGTGGCCTATTATGCTAATGAGCTCCTGCTGGGTGTGGCCAACTTGGGAGCCAGCTGGAACTCCGTTCCTGTGCGTTCCTGCCCAAAAATAGCCCTGCTTCACAGTAATTTTTTTAAAAAGACAAAATTCGTAGGTAGCCCTGTTCTAAACCTCCCAACCAATTGTATGCAGGGGGTGGATGAACGGACCATACTTCGCTTTGCCACTCTCCCGTTCTCTCAAGAACATGTTTCCCCAGCCCCGCTGGGCAGATCTGGTAGATGACCAGCCGACCTGCGCTAGGTCACGGACTCTGCGTCCCCCTTTGCATGCATCCTACTAAAACCGTTGCGAGCGGAAGGGGGGGGGGGGTCCATCCCCCCTTTGCAGGCATCCTCCTAAAACCGTTGCGAGGGGAAGGGGGGGGGGGATCAAGGCTACCTACAGAAACTGCAAACGCCAAACCAGTTCCCACCAGAGGAACCTGGAAAAGGGGTAGAAGGAGAGAGCTGAAGGCATAAAACCCCATTTGTTACATCAGTGGCAATGAATTACAATTGAACTGTTTTTTAGGGCCAAGTCCGTCCTCTCACGGCCTTTAAAAGCGGGCCAATCCTGTCCGACAGTGGTTACCCTGTAGATGCATGAGAGATTCCTTGTCAAACTTGACAGCCAGTTTGGTGTCGTGGTTCGGAGTGCGGACTCTAATGTGGGCGAACCGGGTTCATTCCCCCACTCCTCCGCGTGCAGCTGCTGGTGTGACCTTGGGTCAGTCACAAGCTCTCTCCGAGCTGTTCTCTCAGGAGCAGTCCTCGAGAGAGCTCTCTCAGCCCCACCGACCTCGCAGGGTGTCTGTTGTGGGGGGAGGACGGGAAAGGAGACTGTGAGCCGCTCTGAGACTCCTTCGGGTAGTGAAGGGCGGGGGTATAAATCCAATCTCTTCTTGTCCTTCTTCAAATAATCAGTTCACAAGTCTTGTTTGGATTTGGAACTCCACTGGTTTGGCGAGACGCGGGATTTGAATGACGCGGGCTCCGTCCTTAGCAGAACGGAAAGAACACTTTCTCTTTGACGGCTGCCAGCCCAGCCTCAGAGGGTCCGGCCGAAAGTCGTTCTCCTCCATTCTCTGGACCCCAGAACGTCTTGACGAACTGGATCTCCCTCCTCGCATTGTCTGTCAATGTAACTTAATGTCAGTTTGACGAAAGGAGCAAAGCTTATACCCTGGAAATCATGTCGGTTTTTTAAAGAGCTTGTTATGTATTAGGGTTTCTGTTTAGACATGTAAAGCCGGAGCATCGGTCACAAGCTCCATAGACTGTTGGCATCCTAAACGAAGCAACCGGATTGGCCGCTGTTGTCAGACAGACCAATCCGGAAAGACTCTTACCTTCGGGAACAGTTCCCATTGGTCCCAAGCACTCATCATTGATTGGGCGTTATTGTTCCAGGGGGTGTGGTTTCCCTGGTTCAAACTGAATATAGTTGGGCCGTTCTGTGTGGTGTTGTGTGTTCTGAGCGAATAAAGAAATCCCTTGTTCGAAACGCTGCCTCGATCTCAGTACATAACACAGCTACTGGACTGGAATCTTTTTCTTTTGTCCAAGTCACGGCCTTGCTCGATCCCCATCAGCCTCTTTCTTGGTCTCTCTTCCAAGGCAGGGTGAATGAGAAATGTTGGGAACAGACATGGAAGGAGCCGTCCTTAGGACTACTGTGGAGCCGTCCTTAGGACTACTGTGGAGCCGTCCTTAGGACTACTGTGAATAGATCCTCAGTGCAAAGGAGAGAGGAAGGTACTTACTAGTAAAGGTAAAGGTCTCCCTTGCTCGAAAGCCAGTCGAATCTGACTCTAGGGTTGCGGTGCTCAACTCCGTTTCAAAGCCGAAGAAGCCAGCGCTGTCCGAAGACATTTCCGTGGTCATGTGGCCGGCATGACTAATCACCAAGGCGCACGGAACGCTGTTCCCTTCCCACCGAAGTGGTCCCTATTTATCTACTTGCATTTTCTTGCTTTCGAACTGCTAGGTTGGCAGGAGCTGGAACTAGAGACGGGAGCTCACTCCGTCATGCGGCAACTCGGGTCTTGAACTGCTGAACTACCGACCTTCCACAGCCTGCAGTTCAGCATCTTAACCACTTGAGCCACCGCAGCTCCCAGGTACTTACTAGCAGCCAGCTATTTACACAGTAATTGTTCTCCATTATTGAGGGAAAGGGGCTGTGGCTCAGTGGAAGGGCCTCTGCTTGGCATGCAGAAGGTCCCAGGTTCAATCCCGGGCATCTCCAGTTAGAAAGGACCAGGCAGGAGGGGACGTGAAAGACCTCATCCTGAGACCCTGGAGAGCGATGGAGAGGGGCCGTGGCTCAGCGGCAGAGCCTCTGCTTGGCATGCAGAAGGTCCCAGGTTCAATCCTGGGCATCTCCAGTTAGAAAGACCAAGTAGGAGGTGATGGGAAAGACCTCTGCCTGAGACCCTGGAGAGCTACGGAGAGGGCGTGTGGCTCAGTGGCAGAGCCTCTGCTTGGCATGCAGAAGGTCCTCAGTTCAGTCCCCGTCACCTAAGGCTAAAAGGACCAGGCAACAGGTGATGTGAAAGCGCCTGAGACCCTGGAGAGTGGCTGCCGGCCTGAGTAGACAATACTGACTTTCATGGACTGAGGGTCTGATTCACTATAAGGCAGCTTCACGTGTCCATCTCAGCAAAGAACTAACAAAGAGCCTTAGAAGTTGGGAGTCTCTCCCACAGGTTGGTAGCTATGGTGGGGCTTTTGGGGCTCCGCCCCCTTTCTTAAAGGCACAGCCCCACAATAATTGCTTTTATGCTTTTTAAAATCATTTTAAAACATTTTTATAGGTCTGTGCACCTTTAGGCAGAGTGGGGTGCTGTAATTGATTAATTCCCACCCTGAGCAAGGGGGTTGGAGTAGGTGACCTCTAGGATCCCTTCAAACTCTGTGTCAAGAAACTGGTCTCCTTGAAGAGAGTTTTTCTGCCTATGTGTTAGCTTTCTTGACTAGAGAAGTCATCACCCACACCTTGCTGGCTTGTTCTCAGAACTGTTGCTTAGGCTGGCAGAAGTGATTAAATTGCAGCAGCTGAGAACTGTCGTCTAAAGTGGCTGACAGCTTGCAGTTTAGAGATCTACCCTGGCGACAGCTTCCTATTGGCTAAATGGCTTTTCTTTCTGCACTGAGAACTTCAGCCCCACCAGAAAAAAATTTGCCCCGCAAGCCACAAAATCCTGGCCCTGGGCCCGCTCTCCCAAACAGCTGGGCAATGCAAGACCAACAGGGACCCTTTTGTCTATTAAACTGCCACCACCCTGGAGCTTTGCCAGTCCCTCCATGGCACGGCGGCCCGCTGGCTTCGACACTCAGGACAAATGACCCTTCATGAGTTGTGTTTCCATTTCGAGCTGACTTTGTCCAGCAGGTGCCTGGTGCTCTCCCGGAACTTGCACTGGGTGAAGTAGAAGAGGATCGGGTCCAGGACGCTGTTCATGCTCGCAAACGGCCGGGTGCACTTGTAGGTGATGGCGAAGGCCTGGAGGGTGGCGCAGGGCACGCCCGACTTGGAGCGGATGATCAGGTAGATGCTCTTGGTGAGGTGGAAAGGGAAGAAGCTGATGGCGAAGACCAGGACGACGATGATGATCATCCGGATCGCCTTGTCTTTCTTCTTGCGGACGGCCAAGCCAATCAGCTCGTCCTTCTGGCAGAGGATCCGGGTCATGCCGCAGTAGCACCCCACGACGAGGACAAAGGGGATCAGGAACCCCGTCACCGTCAGGGTGAGGCCGTACGGGAAGTAGCCGGCGGAGCGGTCCGGGGGGCTGAGGTCGTAGCAGACGGTCCGGTTCCTCTGGGTGCCGGTGGAGGCGAAGACGAAGGTGGGCAGGCACTGGGCGACGACGAGGAACCAGACGACCCCGCACACCGCCCAGGTGAACCCCTTGCCCCTCTTCTTGTGCCAGGTGGAGAGCGGGTGGCAGATGCCCAGGTAGCGCTGGATGCTGATGCAGGTCAGGAAGAGGATGCTGCCGTGCAGGTTGGTGTAGAACTGGAAGCGCACGAAGCGGCAGGTGAAGTCGCCGAAGGGCCAGTAGTCCTTCTGGGAGTAGTTGTAGATGAGGAGCGGCAGGGAGCAGATGTAGAGGAAGTCGGCCACCGCCAGGTTCAGCATGTAGATGGTGGTGCGGGTCAGCACCTTCCGGGCTAGCCAGATCTGGACGATCACGATGGCGTTCAAGGGCAGGCCCACCACAAAGACCACGGAGTAGACCAGCGGCAGCAGGATCTGCTTGAACTCCTCGTGGAAAGTGCAAGAGTTCTTCCCGCCGGCAGACGTGGTCAAGTTATCCATTCCTGACCCACTGGGTTCACCTCGTGCTCAGCTCACATCCGAGGTTGTCCTCTGGCCATGCAGAACCTGGGGGGTGAGAAACATCTATGTTAGGAATATGGAATGTAAGAACATCAGAAGAACCCTGCTGGATCAGACCAGTGGTCCAGCATCCCGTCTCACACAGTGGCCAGCCAGTTCCTCTGGAGGGCCAACAACAGGGCATAGAGGACAAGGCCTTCCGCTATAAGAACCAAATAACGGCCTTGCTGGATCAGACCAGGGAGGGTCCCTCTAGTCCAGCCTCCTATCTCACACAGTGGCCAACCAGTTCCTCTGGAGGGCCAACAACAGGGCAGAGAGGCCAAGGCCTTCATAAGAACATCAGAAGAGCCCTGCTGGGTCAGACCAGTGAGCGTCCATCTAGTCCAGCATCCCGTCTCACACAGGGGGCAGCCAGTTCCTCTGGAGGGCCAACAACAGGGCAGAGAGGCCGAGGCCTTCCCCTATAAGAATCAAAGAACAGCCCTGCTGGATCAGACCAGTGAGGGTCCATCTAGTCCTGCATCCTGTCTCACACAGTGGCCAACCAGTTCCTCTGGAGGGCCAACAACAGGGCATAGAGGCCGAGGCCTTCCCCTGATGTTGCCCCCCCCCGGGTCTGGAATTCAGAGGCTTAATGCCTCTGAACGTGGAGGTAACCCTCAGCCACAATGGCTAATAGGTACTGATAGATGTCTCCTGCATGAATCTGTTGCACACAGCCACAAATATAAGTTATACATTCAATAACCACTAGCCACCAAAATATTGGTCACCGCTACAATAACCATGGAACCCTGAAGGCCTTCTTCGGGGGTCTAAATAATTAACAACACACAGTGAAAGTATAAAATATCTGTTCCGGGCAAGGCAGGTAGCATATGAATCAACGGAATCATGTAGCGCCAAATAAAACCTGTAAAGTTTTTGCAGTCCATAAGGCCCCCAGATATTGAGGCGCCCACCCCCATCAGAGAAGATAACTCTGTGCAGCCATTCTGCTGTTGGCCGTTACTCTGTTCACAGTGTGTGCCCGTCAACCAAAAGCGAAGGCCTTTCACTTTTGTCTGACACATGGGGCGATTTCTCACTAGAGCTGCCTCGCAGCGCAGCCGCCGTTTGCCTCGACACAAACATGTCAATTTCACACCCGAAGCTGCGGGGCTGCATGTTGACTCGCAGATTCGCCCGATTTCCTTCGCAGTTTCGTGATCCTGGTTTTTGAGGATCATGAAACTGTGGAGGAAATCGGGTGAAGCCACGGGTCAAATGCAGCCCCGCAGCCTCGGGTGTGAAATTGACATGTTTGTGTCGAGGCAAACGGCGGCTGCGCTACGAGGCAGCTCTAGTGAGAAATCGCCCATGGGCACACATTGTGAAGCTAAAATGACCAACCTGAGGCTATCGTACTTTGGTCACATTATGAGACAAGAGTCAGTGGAAAAGACAACAAAGCAAGGGGAAACTTGAAGGCGAGAGGAAAAGAGGAAGGCCCGACCTGAGATGGACGGACTCAATCCAGGAGGCCACGGCCCTCCGTTTGTGAGACCCGAGCAAAGCTGTTGATGATGGGATGTTTGGAGGCCATTAATTCATCTCTGAAGACGTGAGCAGTGTGACTCCCGAAAGCTCCTCCCCTGCCACCAATTTTGTTAGTCTTGAAGGTGCTCCTGGACTCTCACTCTTTTCTCCTGCTGCAGACAGACTCACACGGCTACCCGTCTTGCTCTGTCTCCTTGGATGGAGCCACATTTAGCCGTACAGAATGGGAATCCGTCAACCTTGTGATAGAAGGACAGATGGACTCTCGTTCTCGCTGTATCTGAAGAAGTGACTGCAGTGACTCACGAAAGCTCCTTCACTGCCACACCTTGTGGGAGGGTGTTAGCTGACGGTCGGACGTCCCGGTCGAGGCTTGGAAGGCGAAATAGCTTCTCGGCTACGAAAAAATCCCTACAATGGATGTTCCGGCCAGGCGGTGGCAGTGTGGCGATTGACATACAGGTCCTGAAGCCTCACCAACAAGGAGCCATGCAGAAAACGACGGAGCCAAGCCAGAAGACGTCTATACCGTGGAGTGACGGTGCGTGCAATTAAAAATGAATATATGTTGTCTTCTCTATCCCCTACAAACATTGTTAGTCCCTTGTCTATATTGAGTAACTGTACATCGCTTTGAGCCCACTGGGGAAAGCGATTAATAAATGGAAAGTATTATTATTATTATTATTATTATTATTATTATTATTATTATTATTATTATTATTATTATTGTTGTTGTTGTTGTTGTTGTTATTGTTATTGTTGTTATTATTGTTATTATTGTTATTATTATTAATAATAATAATTTGTATGCCGCCCTTCCAACCAATGTTCCGTCTAAGCTGTGGAGTCTAGTGAGCAAAAATTCTACTGTGAGAGCTACTGGCATTAAAGTTGTGAGCGAGGATCTGGCTACTGCATAAATTAGTTTGCTCTGGAGCCATCCTTCCTGAGCTAAGAGAAAAATGTGTGAGCCAGAGGCCAAGAAACTGTGAGCTAGCTCACACTAACTCAGCTTAGAGGGAACACTGCTTCCAACATGGGCTCAGGGCGGTGAACAGAGAGGCAAATGCCATACATAAAACAATAAACAATCATTACCTATAGAACAGTTAAAAGTCAGTGCTCAACAGACCATATCAATTCCATAATAAAATGCCCATAACAATAACACACTCCGAGTAAACACAATTGTCTCTGCTCAATTGTTGGTCTTTAAGGTGCTCCTGGATTCTTGCTCTTTTCCACAGCTGCAGACAGACCAACACGGCTTTTTGTTGTTCGGTCGCATAGTCGAGTCCGACTCTTCGCGACCCCATAGGGTCGCCCATGAACACGTCTTGACATCACTTAATACAAAAAGAAAGCTTCATCAGCAGGATACCAGGGATCTGGATGAGGACATTTGTCTGTCTGTATGTCTCTTGGGGTGTGTTTATACCGTCGTCGGTGCAACTTCTGCTACTTTGTTAAAACGAGGCTCTTGTTATAATTTCCCCTCGCCAGTAGGTGGCACTATCATCACGTGGAAGGCGCTAAATGCGGCCCGCCATTCCTCCCAAGTCCCAAAGGAACAGCAGTACGGAAGAGGGAGGGATGAAGAGGCATGCCATTAATGCAGTCCTGGTTGCGCCTTCGTCACAGCACCTGCTAGAGACTTATGCATGGTTCAGAAGCTCGTACAGTTCTGCCACTGTGTGATACAGAGCGTTGGACTGGATGGGCCTTTGGCCTGATCCAACATTGGCATCTCTTATGTTCTTATGTTCTTATGCTCACAGCCCTCCCTGGTTCTTACCACCCTGAACAACTTAGTGTCACCTGCAAACTTTGCCAACAATTCACCACTCACTCTCAACTCCAAATCATTAATGAACAAGTTAAAAAGCACCGTACCCAGCACTGATCCCTGCGGTACGCCACTGCTTACCCCCTTCCACGGTAAAAACTGCCCATTTCGACTCACTCTCTGTTCCCTGTTAATTAACTGGTTTTTAATCCACAAGAGGACTTGTCCTCTTATCCCCTGACTGCCGAGTTGACTTAGGAGCCTTTGATGAGCAACTTTATCAAAAAGCTTTCTGGCAGTCTAGGTAAACAACATCTATTGGGTCCCCCTTGTCCACATGTTTGTTCGCCCCCTCCGAGAACTCTAAAAAGTTAGTGAGACACGATCTTCCCTTACTGAATCCGAGGTTTATGGCATTCATGGCTTTTGTGTTTTTTATTTTGCTTTGGATTAAAGTTCCCTGGAACTTGCGTAAGACGATGATGTCGTTTCAGAGGCTTTCAAGACTGATGTTACATTCACTTCAGTTCTCTCTGTTCGTTTATTTACTCCGTCTCCACCCCACCTTTCTCATGAATGTTGATGCTTACTGACCAATTGAGAACATGTTCCACTATTGATCAGATGCCTGGCTTTATATTTTTGCTGGGGAACGAAGATTGCTAGGGAAAAGATCAACAACCTCAGATATGCAGACGATACCACTCTAATGGCAGAAAGTGAAGAGGACCTCAAGAGCCTCTTGCTCAAGGTAAAAGAGGAGAGTGCAAAAGTGGGCTTGAAGCTCAACATCAAAAAAACTAAGATCATGGCATCCGGCCCCATCACTCCTTGGCAAATAGAAGGGGAAGTCGTGGAAGTAGTGACAGACTTCACGTTCCTGGGATCCCAGATCACCGCAGACTGTGACAGCAGCCATGAAATTAAAAGACGCCTGCTCCTTGGGAGGAAAGCAATGGCGAACCTAAACAGCATGATAAAAAGTAGAGACATCACCCTGCCAACAAAAGTCCACATGGTCAAAGCAATGGTATTCCCAGTAGTCATGTATGGCTGCGAGAGTTGGACTATAAGGAAGGCCAAGCGCCGAAGAATAGATTCTTTTGAACTATGGTGCTGGAGAAGACTCTTGAGAGTCCCTTGGACTGCAAAAAGATCAAATCAGTCAATCCTAAAAGAAATCAACCCTAGAAGACCCTGATGCTGGGAAAGACTGAAGGTCAAAGAAGACGGGGACGGCAAAGGATGAGATGGTTGGACAGTGTCATCGATGCAACGAACATGAAATTGAGCAAAATTCAGAGGACGGCGGAAGACAGGAGGGCCTGGCGTGATCTTGTCCATGGGGTCGCGAAGAGTCGGACTCGACTGTGCGACTGAACAACAAAAAAGGACTGAATTTTTCCTGTATTACTAGTCTGAAGGCTTCTGTGCTTTATGAGTACTGTGTGAAGGATTTTTCCTACGTATGCATGATTGAAGTCTTCTGTACATTATCAGTACTTAATGCAGTAGTTTGCACTCTTTGAAGAAGAACCCTTGAAACGAAGATCAAAATCCAGAGTCTTCGTCAACTACTTGTGCATACCATGTATGGACTTGCACCTTTTATGATGCAATCTTGCTTCGCTGATATACGTGGTCCCTTGTTATTGTTATTAGTTTTGCTTCTGTTACAATACAATTTCCCTTTGCATGCCCTTT